TTCCTCTTCTAAGTCCACCATCACTTCTTCACCCTCTCACTACCTGACTTCTCAGTATTAGCGGACTACGACAGAGAGAGAGAGAGTTGTGACTTGAGACTTAACGACATTGGATCCAGACTCGACATTGGGATTCAGACATTTTGACGAGGGACTATTTGGGCCTGTTCCGAAGACTTGGTGTTGACGACATTCCCATCTTCCCCTCTTCTTCGTCTGTGTATGGTTGGGGACTGGCGCATCCTTCCTGTATGAGCGCCAGGCCCCTTCACACCATGGAGTGATGATGATGATGTATGTTCGGGGCTACATTGCAATATTGATTGTTCGGATCATTGGTATCTAAGTCTTCCGCTACGCTATCTTGTACTTTGTGAGAGAGGTCGGTTCTTGTTCTGGTCTGCACCGTTACAGTATGCAACATGTAGACAGTGTGGCCAATGCCACGTCAGATGTAGAGACAGGTGGCATGCGCCACATCATCAATGAAGACAGGTGGCAGCACCACGTCAGCAACACCAGGTGGCAGCGCCACATCAGCAACACTGTAGGCCGGTGGCAGCGCCACATCAGCAACACAATGTAGGCAGGTGGCAGCGCCACATCAGCAGCACAATGTAGACAGGTGGCAGCGCCACATCAGCAATGTAGACCAGTGGCATGCGCAACATCAGCAAGGTAGACAAGTGGCATGCACCACATCAGCAGGATAGACAGGTGGCAGCGCCACATTAGCAATGCCTGGCGCACAAAGCACAAAGCGCCAGCAGGCTGCAACAGTCCCGTGTCGTCGTCCACAATGCCTGCGCACAGCCAGCGTCAAGCCAGCTTCTCGCCAGCGTCGTGCCAGCATCAATGCCAGTGTCCAGTCAAAGTCAAGCCAGCATTCAAGCAGCATAGCAAGACTGAATGTTGACCACCTCGAGACCAGTCCATTTGTAGTGTTTGACGAGGTTGTCTGGCCTTGGGTCCCCTCCTCACAGTCGTTTAGATTGAATCACAGCCGAAGGCCTAGATTGTGTACAGTTGCAGACCTCCCCTTGGACCTGATGCTGTCTGGTACCTGCATACAAACAAATGTGTGCGTCTGACCGACGGTCTGGGCTGGGTACACTTCGACTTTGACTGACGACTTTGACTGTTGGGGTCTCCGACAGTTGACTTTTGTCAACTGTACTGTACCTCGCTCAGGCCCTGAATCTTTAACTGGGGTTTTTTACTCGTTTTGGCCTGGGCCTGGGTGTGGCCTGGCGAGGCCCTCAGTTTTCCACGAGGCATACAACATGGGTTATTGCAATAGCATCTGGGTACATTAGGTGCGTCAGTTCTTTGCACAGTAATTCTGGGGTAAATTCGATATTTCAATTCGATGTAGCGCACCAATCACAGTGAGGATCTTAGAACGCATGGAGCCTACACTCCTGAAATGACGCAGAGTTCACAGAGACACACCGAGAGAGAGAGAGAGAGAGAGAGAGAGAGAGAGAGAGAGAGAGAGAGAGAGAGAGAGAGAGTGTCACAGCATGTTGCGTCGAAAGGTGTGCTTATAAATAACACTGGGAAAGAGCCCGCAGCCCAGGATGCCCATAGAAAAGAATGCTTATAAAGCCCAGCTTTCAAAAGTCGTGAAACGAAAAACGAACAGACCAGCGGCAAGACAAGTACACCAAGACAAACAAAACGGCAAGGCTGAGGTCAAAACACAACACGGTACTTGGATGACACACCGCAAGAAAGAACAAAAAGTGGAGGGCAAGGGGGAAGCGGGTAGGCAGACAAACAGCACTAGGCAGAAGAATGAGGCGGCCGCAACAAGGCAACAAGACAGACAAAAGAACAAACAACAAAAAAAAACACAGAAAAAAAAACAAAAGATGAAAGATTGTTTCGTCGGAGTTGCACCGACTCATCAGGAGGCTGAACCCTCGACAATCTGCGGAATCCCCGTATTTGATGGTTTGGGTCATGAACCCTTTGACCCTTGTTGAAGGCAGACTGTCCCCAAGACGAACATAGCAGCGGGCAACAACCCTGTGAAGCACCAGGCAACACAGTAGAGGCAACACGGCTGCACAACACCAAAAACGACTGCAAGGAACGACATGGCACGCAGCGAGGCAGCCGTGTAGTGAAGCACAAGGCAACAAAAGGAAGGCAACAACACTGCAGGGGACGACAGAGCGAGTGAACCAGCAGCGGGGAAACCATGGAGCGGAGCACAAGGCACCAGCAACAAGGCAACCAACCTACATGGCACACAAGCACGGAAGGCAAGGCCAAGGGATGAGCAGCATGGCAGCGGAGCAGCGGAGCAGCGAAGCGCAAGGCAACACCAACCACACAGCCACACCACGCAGCGAACACAGCAATTCGCAGAGAGTCACATGCGAAGCAAGCGGGACAGGCAGCAAGGCGGCGGTGGAGCGCAGATGAGGATGTCCACACATCCAACACGGAGCAAAGCAGCACATGACCTACTCACATCACGATAGAACCCCGCAGACTGTTGGTTCCCACCACCCACTTAGCCAAGGAGTCACTCCGACGAACATCCGTCATCACCGACAAGCAACACAGACATCCTGAACCGAGCAGCCCCCATAAGAGTGCAATAGGCACTTCAAACGAGGAACCACCGACTGTTTGGCACTACTTAAGGGTGCTCAGTTAGGCACTTAAAAGGGGAGGACATACAACAGAAACAAGACCGACAGACATAAAACTGATTGTGTGTGTGTGTGTGTGTGTGTGTGTGTGTGTGTCCCACCAACATTCCCTCCATGAGGAAGGCCGGATGGACTAGTGTCCTGGGCCACTAGGCCATTCAGCCCGGTGCCCCATGGACTCCGCACACACATACAGAGACAGACACATGCACAACCCATGTAACTTAGACAAACACTAAGAAGACATGACCTTTACTCGCGTGGGGAAGCGCATTCAGAAGGCAAGGAGGCTCGAGACTCAAGAAGTGTTGGGAGGACAGACAAGGACAGCAACAAAACTACTAAGGAATCTGACCCATTTGTAAGCAAAAAAGAGACGAATCTTCGTGTGTGTGTTATATATGCATTGCGTGGCTTCTGCGACCGTGTCACAGCATGTTGCGTCAAAAGGTGTGCTTATAAACAACACCGGGAAAGAGCCCGCAGCCCAGGATGCCCATAGAAAAGAATGCTTATAAAGCCCAGCTTTCAAAAGTCGTGAAACGAAAAACGAACAGACCAGCGGTAAGACAAGTACACCAAGACAAACAAAACGGCAAGGCTGAGGTCAAAACACAACACGGTACTTGGATGACACACCGCAAGAAGGAACAAAAAGTGGAAGGCAAGGGGGAAGCGGGCGGGCAGACAAACAGCATTAGGCAGAAGAATGAGGCGGCCCCAACAAGGCAACAAGACAGACAAAAGAACAAACAGCAAAACAAAACACAGCGAAAAAAACAAAAGATGAAAGATTGTTTCATCGGAGTTGCACCGACTCATCAGGAGGCTGAACCCTCGACAATCTGCGGAATCCCCGTATTTGATGGTTTGGGTCATGAACCCTTTGACCCTGGTTGAAGGCAGACTGTCCCCAAGAGGAACATAGCAGCGGGCAGCAACCCTGTGAAGCACCAGGCAACACAGTAGAGGCAACACAGTAGAGGCAACACAGTAGAGGCAACACAGTAGAGGCAACACGGCTGCACAACGCCAAAAACGACTGCAAGGAACGACATGGCACGCAGCGAGGCAGCTGTGTAGGGAAGCACAAGGCAACACAAGGAAGGCAACAACACTGCAGGGGACGACAGAGCGAGTGAACCAGCAGCTGGGCAACCATGGAGCGGAGCACAAGGCACCAGCAACAAGGCAACCAACCTACATGCCTCACAAGCACGGAAGGCATGGCCAAGGGATGAGCAGCACGGCAGCGGAGCAGCGAAGCGCAAGGCAACACCAGCCACACAGCCACACCACGCAGCGAACACAACAATTCGCAGAGAGTCACATGCAAAGCAAGCGGGACAGGCAGCAAGGCGGCGGCGGAGCGCAGACGAGGACGTCCACACATCCAACACAGAGCAAAGCAGCACATGACCTACTCACATCACGATAGAACCCCGCAGACTGTTGGTTCCCACCACCCACTGAGCCAGGGAGTCACTCCGACGAACATCCGTCATCACTGACAAGCAACACAGACATCCCGAACCGAGCAGCCCCCATAAGAGTGCAGTAGGCACTTCAAACGAGGAACCACCGACTGTTTGGCACTACTTAAGGGTGCTCAGTTGGGCACTTAAAAAAATCAAGGGGAG